ACCAATTTCGTGACCAATTTTTTTCAATATCGAATTTAATTTTGTTTACAAAATGTCAGCGCATTAAATTTGGGTCTAATGAATAAAATACCATCTCTTTGTCTCAAAAGTTTCCAACGATTAATGAAAAAATACACGCACGCAATTGTATTTTAATAACGGTATTCTTGCGACTTATTTTGTTACATTAATCAAACATTAAAAATGATTACTGTTTCTTTCAGTCATTATAATTTCTCTTGGCATTTAATATGGGTAATAAATACGATTAATGTGCATGAGTACTGGTAGTTACGATAGGAAATAGAACGGATTGTATCGCCAATTCCAAAACCTAAAACGAATAAGTAGTTATTTATTTTCACTATGACTATGGAGATAAAGCTGAAAATGGTTTGAGCAGTCAAGGTAATGTCAAAGGTAAAGGGTAAAAGACAAACAAAACATGGACTTTCACAATACGCCATTAAGCCCATATCAATCAAAGTCGAACACAACCGCTTCTCAAAGCTAACAACCCAAATCCGACAAAGAAAAACCGTACACGAGCAAAAAAACCGGTAAAAATCGCCAATCAAAGACCGGCAATGAAATAATCGAATTGCCGATGTTCAAAGTGCAAAGCTACCGCAGATTCTGAATATCGAAATCGAGTAAAAAGAACCGATAGGCGAGTTCAATGTCGATGGCTTTAAAAAGAACAGGAATTCGAAAATGGAACATCGGGGATTTGGCCCGTATTTACAGCACAGTCGCTACAATGAGAAATACCTTTGTCATTAAAACTCACAATATTCCATTTTATAAATGTGTAAATAATGGATTTTAACTTTGATCATAATTATTATCATCATATTATCAGCCATTTAAAAACGTCCACTGCTGAACATAGCTCTAGGTCTCCCCTATTGATTTCCATTATGACCGATTGGTAGCAGCCTGCATCCAGCGCCTTGCTACCTTTATGAGGTCGGAGACTATACCAACTATTTTTTACGAAAAAAAACAATGGAAAAGTACCAACTCTCAGTGACAAAAATATTTAGTCCCCCAATAAAAGTGCGGGCGAACGATTTATTTACCTATCAAACTTCATCGATAAACGTTTTTAGTGTAAACTCGAGAAACGTCGACAGGTGCTCGAAAACTAAACATGGCCGCAAACATTTTTATCACAGTCGTAAATATAACAAAACTGTAAGATCACCCTCACACGCGTAAACTTTTTAGAACACAACCGAAGAAATAATTTCTCGCAAACTATTCAGCTACAGTCTCAAAAGTTCATCCTAATACTTATTTACTACAACTCAAAGTTCATAATGGAATGAAATTGGGAAACCCACCAGCAAAACAGTTGGCTGTCGTGAAACAAAAGCCAATACCGACAGCAGTAAAATCTATCGTGCATCGAAAAAGACGGTTCGTGACGGCGAAGTTTTGCTTTCAATCGATGCCTTTTCCTTAGTTCGGCATTTCAACCCCCAAGTGATTTAAAAAAGAAAAATTCAATCCCGAAAAAATACTTAGGTAAAAAATATAAATGGAGATAGGTGATAGATTAATATGCCTAGTTAATGATTTCCTATAGTATCTCATAGCAGACGACAAGCGATTTCAATAACATGCCATTTTGTTTTCTAAAGTTATAAATACATTAGTCAAATTAGCATAACAATGCGGGCCTAATGAGCGCTGCACAAAAGTACATAAATGCAAGCCTTACCTTCAAAATTCAATTGCCAGTCCTTGCCAATAGAACACAAACCACTTAACGTCACGGCACATTTACAATTCTAATTCACCACTACGTAATTTCCAACGATTTATATTTTATTTTGTAGTAGACATATTGGATCGCCGAAAAATAAAGTTGTTACCCGATAATAGACCGGCGACGCACGCGACCTCTTGCGCTGATCGCTATCAATACAACATTACATTTGCAGATTGATAACTGAAGCACGAATTAAATTGATCTCTATTATGTTCGTAATTAGAACGACTGTAGCTGTTCGGTTAACGAGTGGGCTGCGTGTTAATTTTGTCGTCCACCCCAAGACGTTCGATTTTCGAACTGCCCTCTTTTTGAAATGTTTCATTTGCACGTTCCGAATACGGGTGTTCGATTTTCAAATTTGAATGTTACCAAACGAAGGTGTTTTGTATTCGTAACTTTATTTCGTTTCTAGTAAATTACATTACAGATTTGAGTAGGTAACTAAGATGCCACAGTTTATTTTTGGTTGTGTTTTATTACACAATTTCCCAATTAGCAATAGCAGGTCAGTTTACTTTTCTGATTTTATTTTAATTTCAGAACTCCAAACTTTAAAATATTTTAAACTATTTTTTTGCAGACAGGATTTTGCAACAAAAGCACTTTTTAACGGTAAACAGATATTTACACTCCCGACGTTTCAACTCGGTGGCACGAGTCATGGACTATGGTCGCGGGCAGACTGAAGAGCGCATCTCTTCTGTCTGCTTTCGTCTATGCTTTTCTCGATGAATTTTCTTCACCTACCCGCATTTGCACAATATTTTCGTCGGTGGTGTCCAGGTTTCTTTCAGACAGCCTAGAACGCGATTTGCTATTCGTTATCACCGGATTCCACGCTGATGATAGGTTAAATCCATCTTCTCGATTGAATCATCATCATTTCAGCCATAGGACGTGCACTGCTGAACACCTCCCCCAATGATTTCCATGTTGATCTATTGGTAGCGGCCTGCGTCCATCGCCTTCCTGCTACCTTTATGATGTCGTCGGTCCACGTTGTTGGTGGACGTCACACGCTGCGTTTTCCGGTACGTGGCCTCCAAAACCTTGCTGCCCCATCGGTCAGTTCTGTGTTCTATGTTATTCAATGCGTAAAACTGCGTGATCATCATCATCATCATCATCATCATCATCATCATCTCAGCCATAGGACGTCCACTGCTGAACATAGGCCTCCCCCAATGCTTTCCATGTTGCCTGGTTGGTTCTGGAGTAGAGGCCGCGTAATGGAAAACGCACCGTGAGACGTCCACCCACAAGGTGGACTAACGACAAAACTGCGTAATATGTAATTTCAATTCAAAACTTTTTTTTAATCCACTTCAGTCTGCAGTACTTACTTTCCGCTATAAAATCCCTCGTTTCAACCCTAAAACACCGTATCAATACGTTAATAAGTCTGGCGCTTATCTGAAATCTCTCCCTAATGAATATTAACCAGTGACTAACATTTTGTCTGTCTGTGTGACTCATAAAGGGGGATAGAACACGGAATAATTGTTCTTGCTGTAATTAAATTTGATCTGTTATAGTTTTTTTTTAACAGGAATAGTACTTAATAGGAAACTAATTTATGAGGAATCGATATGGGCAATCGAGTCGTGAACTATTTGTAGTGATGTGCGTGAAGTAATTTGCTATCGATATAGTTCATTAACTTTTTCAGTGATGATTTATTATATTCATTGCAATAGTATCTAATAGAGATCATTATTAAAACAGAATACTGCGATTATTTCTGAAAAAATATATTTGAGAAGCATTCAATTTGTTACATATTTCACACCCATCAATCACATACGATACGACCTCCCTTGTCATGTTAGAACTTTTAGCATAGGTAGGGTAGGTACCACAAAATACGCCTCCTTAACTGAAACAACACATTTTTCTATAACTTTCTAATGCCACAAAGACGGTCGATGTGAAATCCTTTGGGGGAGGCCTTTGTCCAGCAGTGGACGTCATTAACGAACGTTCTAACGCCACTTGACCTACAATCGATAAACCCAACAATAGTGGTGTCCAGTAGCATCGATATATCGACCGCGCTCGTTTGCATATCGCGGCACGGAACTCTCGCACTTATCATGTTTATTGATTGACACGCTAGTAATTCACCGGTTCGCCGCCCGCCACCTTCTAAGCACGGACGAGGCATGAGCGGTAGCGGATATCGACTTTGAAGAATAATATTTCCTTAACTAGATATAAATAAAACACAAATTTATTAAGGGCTAATTTTCCAACCGTCGTCGCGTCGGATATCTTTTACCTCAAGAAAAAAATTGTCATTTTGACATATTTATTTACCATACATAAACGGTCAATAGACCAATTTTATTCTGCAGTTACAAGTTGTTCAATGATTGATAAATCAGCTATTTGATATACATATAAGCTCAATAAGAAAATAATTATGAACAAGATTTTTTGAAAGTTGATGTCCACCGTGTGTGTTTGTAAGAGACCTTAATTGAAAACTTCCAAGGCTTGGTCTGCGGCCAAAAACAATATTTTAAAAGAAACTTATAGAAGTAAATTATCACTAAAGTCACACTAATTGCAAAATAGGCTTTAACAATCTTAGGTATCGCTATTGTCTACCCCTTGGCCCACAACTCAAAATTTACAAGTCGTGGCTTACAGCTCTTTGTTTAAGGTGGCGATAACTTAGTTTTTAGGTGTTTCGCCTTCGTACCGTAGTTTCGGCCCGTGACAATTTGAGCCCCTGTGTCGTGCGATCGCTACGACTTATAGATCCGAGCGCCGATAGCCGCGCTTTGCATAAATTATAGGGGCGATTTTTCAAATTTATTTAGCAATTAAAATAGAACAGCGTAGATAAAGTCATTGGGGTTTGGGAATTTCAAAAAAGATCATATCTGTAGCCCATAGCCCAAAAAAGCCGATACAAAAACGCTCGTGAATTGTGTCTCAACTCAACAAAGTCGTATGGTAAAACTGTTCTAGTTTTCTATTACAAAATAAAATCAAAAGAGAAAGCTATCGGCAATCCAAAGCTGAAAACGCTCCATAAATACGCCACTGGTATTTAACCGTCACGAACCTGTCAATTTTCTTTTTTTCCACCTATCGGGCTGAACATCGAACCTGCGCCCAAATTAATTTCCGCACGAATACAGCCAGTAGCCGATTGTCTAACACAATAGTATCGGAAACTTCCCCTTTCAATGCTAACCTTTTTCTGTTTCAGGTATCACGCGACGTCGAGAAAAGAACAATCGATAATCGCGAAGGAAGTTGGCCGTCACTATTTTTCGGGTTTAGAATGCGGGTATCCGGCGGCGTGGTATTTAAGCGCTCGCGCGGAGTGGTGGGGATGAGTCGGGGCTGAGTTACCGGCGCGAGCGGTCGTCCGGATGCACCCGACGGGCGCGGCCAGTCTGCCCGCACCGGAGGCGGAGGTGCAAGCTATGCACTCGATGGACTGGCTCTTTAAGAAAGAAAGGATATATCTACTCGCGCAATTTTGGCAACAGGTAAGGTTCATGGAACTAAACTACTCATATCTCTACTTCTAGACTCTCTAGACTTTCAATATTGATAGTAGATAAGCACTCCGTTCTCTCATCCATAAGAGATTTTACCCTCTCTTCTTAAGGCTTTTAACAAACAAGCTCCAACCGTATGTAATAAATCCTGAAAACATCTGATGACCTCCTACTGTCTCCAAATCACGAAATCATCTTTCTTTTTAGACAGTCAAGTTAAACCAGTATTCTTCTGGGAACAATGTCCAATCTTAATGTCCAATCGCTAGCACCACTTAACCTACGGTTACTTAATTTCGTACAAATCCTCTAAAACAACCAATCCTACATTATTGAGACCTCACACTATTGCAGAATACCAAATTGCGACCATTCTAATGCCTCAAACAATAGCCCGGTATCAGATAGCGCCAATGGAATCAATTACTTCGCACGGGTCGGACCCAATCGAACTATTATTGTTCAACTATTGTTTTGGAATAACGACCGGTGATAAGACCACCCTCCTATTACTGGGACACGATCGTTTGGACAATAATACGTAATTGCGGTCAAATAACCGTTTTAACTTTTAATGTTTGTGTAAGTGTGGTTTTTTAAGTGTCATTTTTATTAATGCTGACCACTTCTTGATCATAATCTAACTTGAAGGGTGCAGGTGCGATCTATGATGAAACAAACTAGCATATCTATTCTTATAAGATACACCATACAAGAATGCGTGGTAAATTCAGTGAACTGCTCCTGAATCAAATACTATACCTACTACTGTTTTTTCTATTTATTTATATTAACCGGCAGATAGTGGTGACTGAGTTTGTTGCGGCGCTTCTTCTCAGCACTTGCCAAATGTTGGCCTCGAAGCGCTGGTAGGGTAAAAAGATAATGAGACATGTAGATGCTCCTTAAGAGCAAAATATTTGACGATTTGTAAGAACTATTTAATAGTCTATACAAATAAAGAAATTTTGACTTTTGACTTTGAGCCAAAAAGTGTATTCACTCGTGTGTCAAGACATGGATTGTAGGTCTTAATTGTATATCGGGCAATCCAGGTTGATTCGAGAATTTTTATAAAAGATTTAATAACATTGTACAACCCCAACTGATAGCCAAAATCTAAGTAAAGAGAATCAGCCTCTTTAGGTCATGGTCTTCAATTAATTGCTTCTTTGAGTTCTCTCATATCTGGTTCAATAAGTGCAATGAGGGCTATCGTTTTAGCGCTCACCAGTTGGCGCCACTGTAGAGTAAGGTCCTGTCACTTGCTAGTCGCGAAGACAGTGGCGCCAACTTGTGAGCGCTAAAGTGGTAGGAGGACACCTACTAGGTGGACCGGCGATCTGGTAAAGGTCGCGGGAAGAGCCTGGATGCGGGCAGCGCAGGACCGTGCATTGTGGAAAACCTTGGAAGAGGCCTTTGTCCAGCAGTGGACGTCATTTGGCTGAGACGAACGAACGAACGAACGAAGTGCAATTGCAATTGTTTTATCATTGCACATCTTTTTATTTACTTTTGGTCACCTATTCTTGATGCATGTATTGCTTAACATCCTCGTCAAAGCTCATTATTACACTATTCCATGGTGATTCCATGATTTCCATGGCCAATTATTAACTATTGTTTCTAGCAGTATCTGAAGGCTGATCGGTCGGATCGCATTGTGTTATTCCGATGATATCTAAACTGAGGAAGTTGCGAAATTAAACTGAATATAGATAATTGTAGCTAGTGTGTTTCCTTAAGGCTTAATTGGAAATTTAATTATCAATTAAGTTTATTCATTCATGATTTTATTTATGAATCATGAAGATAATACTTACAATTACAACAATAATTTAGTAATAATTTAATTATTATTGTTAAGCCATGATTTGCAATATGTTGCTGTACCTTAATAAATAAATAATACACTAAGGCTGGGTTGAACCATCTTATTTTAACTTTGACAAACGTCAAAAATCTGTCAAACTCCATACAAAAAGCACCGGTTATCGTCATAGTTACCGTTAAAGTTAGGTGGTGCAACTCAGCCTAAGAAGATTATTATGTTTCAAATTATGTACAAAATGATTTAATCAGCAAATTATCACTACTATTAAAATTAGAATGTCAAAGCAATAAAATTTGAAATCAATTATCAAAACGATCGTGTCATTGTTTACAAAAACACTCAATCATCATACAGCACCATTAGCGTCATCTATCAATAGCAACCTGTAATCTCGAATGCAATAACCATAGACAATGATCACTGATCTATGACTTTAGACACGTTGACTCCGAGTCAACGGTGGTAAGTCAATTAATGCACGTATTATGATAATGCTTTTAATATCGAGTAATCGTTTGATTTCCGATTTGAGACACGTACCGGTTCCAATATGGCGGCTTTGATGTTTATTTTTAGCACAACCCGCGGTTAGAATTTGGAATATTTAAAAACTTTTGCTCATTTACGAGCTCAATAGCGTCGATAAAATGTTTGCTGTTTCAATCACTAGCAGACATTATTTGACTTGGCTTAACAAAGATATTCCTTTGCCTTATTATCCCAACAAAGAGCATTAAAAAAACAAACATTCAAACGCATATTAGAACGCGTTTACTCAGAACTAATAACAAATTCAAAATTAGAATTGCAGTGACAGCGATTCGAATTTCAAAACGGCTTTCGACAAAAGGGAAAATTCCTATCACGTAGATAGTTCGAACATCAAATGGAATGGATTTAAAAAGTTTGAATACCTTTTTATGTTTTTTTTACAAAGAGGACATTTCTATGGCCAGTTTGAAAAAGGTTTTAACCTATGCAAAGAAATAAAGGTTCATAGCGAAACTTGAGAGCATAGAATTCATGCATTATCTTCTATTTGTTTCGAGTAAAAGCTCGCATATGCAAATGTTGCTTACTATTTCGATAAGGGACATGTAAAGGACAAATTATGAACAATAGCCGGTACTAAAGTGTACAATAAATATTCATTGTACAGGGAACCGATGGGAGATATTCACATTTGAATTCTGCCTCCGATAGTATTGTTCCTTCAAGGCACATTGATTAGGGGTATTTACATCGTATTAACATATGCCGTGCCGCGAATGCTATCGATTAGAAATTGCAGAAATGCAAGGACAGCTTTTAATTTCTTGAATGCTTTATCATGCTTCGCTTGAGCACGAACCATTTTATTGAGTCGCACGAAGTCTTATTGTGCTTTATAGTTGAAAAATATTAATATTGTTTTCGTATATTAATTTACAAGCAACTAGTTTTGAGGAATCTAGTCTTTTTGAATTTGTCTGAAGGCAGTTCGTTCGCTTCAGTCAAATGACGTCCACTGCTGGACAAAGGCCTCCCCCAAGGTTTTCCACAATGAACGGTCCTGCGCTGCCCGCATCCAGGCTCTTCCCGCGACCTCTGAAGGCAGTATTAGTACTTTTTAAAGGACCTTCGGTCTTGCCTCCTTTAAAATTTAACCTCTCGGTGTTACGAGGTTAAGAAATAATAAACGGCACAAACAATCAAGTTAATGTTATTTAAAGCTATCTAATTAGGATCTATAAAGCAATATTTTAATGCTGAATATTAACAGTAAAATATTCAATTCCGAATGATCTGTGATTTGAAATAATTAAATAAGCCCACAGCCTTCAATCTTCGTTCATAAACCTGATAATTAATATAGTTAATATCACTGTCTTTACAAAAGTCAAGTATGAGGTTGAGTAGAGATGTTAAACTTCTAGTTTTTATTATGATACCAATAACACTAGTTTGAAACTGTTAACTGTGTCTATGTAAGTACATACATCTTAATTCAAATCTTTTTGTATATTTTATTTCACTTTGAATTGAAATGAAATTAGCTCATTGCATGCAGCACAGAAAAACAAAAGACGTCTTTTTAAAAAAAATGTACAGACGACAGCACATCAAGCTAAACACAGTGGCATCTTATCTCGTCGTAATACAGGCTATTTTGCATCGAAAATGTATAACTTGATGTGCTGTCGACTGTACTAACAATGTCCCTAAAATCAACTCAAAAAAAGACAGTTATTGTTCTAGCCGATCCCAAAAGCTACCATTCAAATCTTTTTGTATATTTTACTTCAGTTAAAATTGAAATGAACTTAGCATTTGCGGTTAAGAGCAAAAGTCGGCCATAAACTAAAGTTCATTATAAGCACAATTTTCTATTGTTACCACTTAAATTTTCTATCAGGCGCCAGTTTCGAGATCAAATCGCTCCGCAGTTAATGTAAGTGCACGTTTGCCCAGCAGTGGGACATTAAGCCCAGCGAGCTAATGCCGTCGCCATCAAAACCAATACTCGTAAACTATTAGCCACCCATCTGGATTAGTGGTGGGAAATGATAGATATCGTATTGGACATCGATAATACGGGTACCTATCGATAATAACAGGTTAATTTGAAGTAAATTAATAAAATTTTTAACCGTTTTATATGATAACAAAACAATAGATTACGATAAAAAATATTTTTGTTGGATAGCCTATTAATTTATCGAGGAAGACTATAATCACCCTACAGCCGATAGGGTCGGAGCAGTAAAGAAAAATGTTGCAAAAACGGGAATAAAATTATTATTCAAACTATTTTCACGCTTACAAAGTTCCGGACACAGCTAGCAACTTAACAGAATCTATAAAGAAAATCAAATGTAAACTTTCATTCTTCGCATCTCATAGTCACAAACCTTGATCAATGCAGTGAGCGCTTTGACTTTAACACTTTACTACCGCCATTTTATCGATAATGCGTAACACGAACATCACTAATCCTGAGTGATCCGTTTAAAGCTATATTTAACAACCTGCAAGGGCTGCCTTCAAAGACGCTGCTTATAAAAGCAACAATTAAGAACTATAAAACCTCGAACGATCACCCGTTTTATTATCGCGTAATTGAATGGAAACGAAATCGAATGGCGATAATCGAATAATCAAACCGATTAAGTGC